TTTCTATTCTGAAAAGGGGATAAATTTGTTAATGGTGTGTCATCTTGTGCCTCCAAGATAATAAATCTTGTAAACGTTCTTGCTCTTCGTTTTCCGAACTTAATTCCGTATTTGACCTCTAGGTTTAAGTGGGAGGCATGGAGGAAAATTAAGTTTCTCCATCATTCCTGCTCCCTGCCCTAGTCAGCTTCTATGGGAATTGCAAGCAAAGTAACCAATTCGGCATTTCAAGACAGGGCTAGAGGAATGGCATACTCGATGTGACAATGACCTCAAGCATTCTTGTTTATTCGATTTCTCTGTCTAACTGATTAAGCTAAGTGAAGAAAATCGTCACTCCCTATTTTTCGGACAAATACGTTAGGTTGCTTATGAAATACTTTATTTATTTAGCATATTTTCTTAGATTCTGTATTTTAGGTTATGAGTTTTTTTTTATTTATTTATTTAGTCTGTTGTTATAATGTAGATTTGTCGGTAGTGTAGTAGAAATTTGTTTTCGTATCTCTTTTTCAAATAGCGAAATTGTGGTATAAAATGCGTTTCCCTTTTGCAGGAGAAACCGTCGTTAGTTCCGACGCGTGTTAACCACTCAGCTACTGCTAATCAAGCCAGGTCCTTTTTTGCCTTAAAAACACAAATCTACATGACCAAGGCTCAGTTGGGTTAAAAATGAGGGGTCACATTTAACACCTCAAAAACTTTTGTGACGTACGGTGGCCGTTAATGATTAAGTATAACTCAAGACTTCAATGATAAGATAAAACAGTATTTAATTCCAACCGCAAATAAATACTTAACAAGAACAAAGAAGTAAAAGTCAACTAAAGATAATTAAAGATTTCAGTGAATACCTTGTTAGTTCTGCTTAATCCTAAATCAAAACCCAAATCATCGACGAACAATAATTCACACTAATTCGACTGGATAGTTCCACTCAATAGTCACTCCAGTCAGTAACCTGACATCGCTATTTATACACCTGGGGGAAAATATATATTCATAATCCAGAGTGTCACGCTCGAACCTCGATGTCGGTAGTTACTCATTTTCTTTCTATATGACAAAAACTAAACTAGTAACGTTCATTTTTTACTAGAGAACATATTGCAATTTTCGTTGTTATTATCGCTTTTCTCTGGCACGGCTTATTTCTGGTTCCCATATTATATTCATTTCTATGCTTGGTCGGCTCAGAAGATTTGTGCTGATTCCTTAAGTTTATGAATTTCCCAATGATGCACTTTGTCTATGATTTTAACTTGATCCCACAGAGGACGGTGATCTCCCTTCTTATTCTATATGTGGTCAGCCACGCCTGATTTTTTTTATTTCCCCTCGTGTTACAGCTTTTTGATGCTCTTGAAGCCTTACCTTAAGCGAAATAAAGGGTTCTGTTCGACACCTAAAGCCAAAACGTTGTGATAAATATGACAACAAAGATGAGGACAATAGGCCGAATAATGTAAATAGTGCACATAATACCTCATCTCAGAAATACAAACAGATTATGCACAATTATGTTTACTTTTTATTCTAGTTTCTAAAAATTTTAAAAGATGTACACAGGAATTACAATTGTAGATAAACCCTCCAAAGCTTATTTTTCTTCAAGTACTTTTAACTGTCTTAGTCATTATCATGAACTGGCTGTTGGCAGAGTGGTAGACAAGCTTTTGTGTGCATGTATGTGTGCCTCTCGAAGCCATATATCTATCTATACATCTTATTTATCATCTATTTATATCAAAGGCCTGTTTGAGCCGTTCTACTCTCCAGCCTTCTTCAGGTGGTTGGGATGTCAGACTGGACCCTCGCTGGGGTAGACTGTTCTAGTTCTACGTGCCATGTCTAATGGATGTCAGTTATCAATCTCCTGTTAGACATGGTACGTGGAACTAGAACAGTCTACCCCAGCGAGCAAAATAAAGGGTTCAGTTCGATATTCCAACCACCTGAAGAAGGCCAGAGCGTACAACGGCCGAAACGTTGTGATAAATATGGCAACAAAGATGAGGGTAATAGGCCGAATAATGTAAATAGTGTATATAATACCTCATCTCAGAAATATAGACAGATACGGACATTATTGTTGCCATATTTGGGCGGGGAGTTGCCCAGACTGCACTTTTCAGTCTTGATGGAATTCAAAAGTGTCGGTGAGTCCTTGTTGGGGGAAGAATTATTTTCTACCCTCCAGTCTCTCTGTCGCAGACGGGATGTGACGTGTCTCTCATTTCTTTATCGTCACTTCCATGGAAAGTGCTCGGACGAAATGCATCCCCTGCTTCCACCAGGTCTAACCTTTACGGCTAGGACCCGCTGTACCACTTACATTGTAGCAAACCACTTATTGTATTCCATCGGCGAGAACTAAGTTCAATTCAAACAGCTTCCTCTTGCCAACCACTGCCCTAATGGAGCAGACTCCCTAAAGGATGTTTTCCCGGATCACTACAATCTTAACCTGTTCAAGTCTTCTCCTCCTATCTATATAAACTACCCCTTAACGTAACCCTCTACCTCGAGTGCCTCTCGGGCCTTGTACAGAGTGAATCTTACTATAAAAAAGTGGAACTCGTACATAAGATCCATCGCTAAAGATGCTAGAAAAATGGTCAGTTCTCTGTACCGTTTCAGTAAGAACCTGACTCCTGCTGCTATGATCTTCCTTTACAACAGCGAGACCAGCAATTGAGTATTGCCCCCATATCTGGGCTGCAGCTGCTCAGTCTTCACTTTCCAGTCTTGATAGAGTCCAAGTACGTTTACGCGGCCTTGTGGATGATGGATTATTTTCCAGCCTACGACCCATTTCCCGCAGACGAAACGTTTGCAAACCTCTCGCTAAACTATCGCTATTTCCATGAAATAAGTGGTAAGCCAATGAAATGCTTCGTTCCACCAGTTCATACCTTCACGGCTAAAACCTGCATGCATTAAGTTGAACCTCCTTCATTCTCTTCGTATTCCATTAGTGAGAAGGAAGTTCCGCTTGAATAGCTTCTTCCCATGAGCCACTACTCTGTGAAAATGACTCCCAAGAGGATACTTTCTTGACCACTAGAATCTTAACCCCTCCAAGTATAGGGTTAATCGTTATCTTTCTTCATCAAACTGTACTTCTTAGCTATTACACTGACCGCTCACACAACAAACTTTTCAGCAACCCTCTACCTCAAGAGGCTCTTCGGCCTTGTATAAGGTGAACATTAGTAAAAAAAAAAAAAAAATGTCGATGCAACCAACTTGTTCATTTCCAGTTTTGTCCTTCCTGGCTTATGGAGTATTGATTTTTGTTTTTTTTTGTTTTTTTTTTTTTTGTTGCATCGACACGTAACTTACGGAAATAGATGATTTGGCATTATGTGACATTCGTGCAGAAGGACAATCTGTTTTCATAAGTACACTGCAATGCTACAAGCAGTTCACCGGAAGCGCTGATCACTTGTAGCCGCGAGTGCCCAGCTTTGCTGTTGAAATAGGCTTTTTTTTCAACACTAGCTGTAATTACAGCCTTGAAAGCATCACAAGCAATACAGTTTCTGTCGTGCTTGTCTCGTTCAGATTGTTAATTAATGGCCAGTCCGAGGTTTACTCGAAAATTGATAAACAAAATGGAAAAATTTTAGCCAATCCTGTTGGAACTAGCATTCTCATTTTGTTCAAATGATCCAGGGTCTCGTGGATTAAAGTTTTCGTTAAAATATATCTGATTTTCTGCGAGTTTAATCTTTGGCTCTGTGCTGAAGATTCACAGAAAGAAACAAAAAAACGACACGGATGTAAATAAAAGCAATGATCCGAAGGCTTCTGACTTATTTTGATAACGTTCAATATCTGTCGAATATTTTACATACCTTGGAAGCGAAATGATGAATGTGAAAATGTGAAGAAGCAGCAGATTATTGTATCCGTCGTGTATAAAGTCGGCCATTTTAGTTTATCCTACCCGAATGTCCAGTGCCAACTTGTCAGGCGAAGATGACAGAAGGAAGGACTACGCTCTGCTACTTTGCTGCGATATCCACTGCTAACCTGAACTACGTTTTCCTACTGTCTTCGAAATATTCACTGCTAACCTCTGGATTCTATACTCGAAGACGACCGTCAAAATGTCTAACAAAAAAGACAGGTGAAATTTCTAAGATTCAAAAAGGGTTTGGCGAATTTGACACTCACAAGACATATTAATAGCAAGATGGCAAGGTTAAACGTATCTGTGTAAATGAAAGACAGAACAGAGACTGGAGGGGGATGGTGAGGCGACGAATATTACTTCAAATGAGAGAAGCTGTGGAGAGCCATGATCACCATGAACGAACATGATATGGAAAACGAAATGAGAACAATCTACTCTGATTGAATAATGGGTTCGGTTCTAAAATTCTTTGATGGTTACTAAATACGAAGACAGACAGCTGATGAAGTTTGAAGTATAAAATTGTCGAAACGTTATCAGCATTAAAACCAAGATGAGGATGCTGGGCCGAATAGCGAAGCAGATAATTATCATATTTCCTCATCTTCAACATTTCCACAAAAAAAAAAAGAGGATAAAGACATTTTTGGTAGGTGATGTTTTTATTATTTGCTATAGTCACATGTTAAGAATTGTGGTATTAATACAAAAAACTACCATTTCAGAAATACATTCCCTTCCTTGATAATTTACAAGCCTTTGATTACATATGAGAAAGATTTTTTTTCAGTGGGACGTGGCTGATTACGGTCCAATTCGATTGTCTGTTCCAAGCCATGAAGATTAACTTCAAGTGACACAGTGTAAAGTGTGATTAGATAAAATGCCGACAGAATAATGTTGTAGAAATGTCATTACCGTACACACCTGCTCGCTTATATACTTATATACAAGGGGGCGCTGAAAAGTGCGACAAAATGGTCAAAACGGAATTATGTAAAAAAAAGTGAACCATTTGGGTGGGTAAAATGTTTGTTTTTTTTTTGAGAATATATACCCGGACTGAGTATATACACAC